ACTCCACTCACTGTGTACAAAATATATATATCCCAAAGCCATGTCCCCAGTGACCCACCTCCTCCAGTCACACCCAACCTAACTATAATTACCATCTAGTTAATCTATATCAGAGGATAAATTCACTTATTGCATTAAGGCTTTCATTACCCAATCATTTCACCTCTAAACTTTCTTGTATTATCTCATTTGTGAGCTTTCGGGGGGGTGGGGGGCGGGGGACACTTACTATCTAAACTATAACACATACAGACCACACTGGGACTCCCTTAGAAATAGGATATTAGTCAACTTCAGGTTACTATAATGAAACACCTGAGGCAATTAACTTATCACGAGAAAATCTTTCTTTTGATTCATTGTTCTGGAGATTGTAGTATAAGATCAGGCCTCTGTTGCTTTGGGTCCTCGGAGAGGGTGGCACTTCAAGGTGGGAGCAAATAGAGAAGAAAAACTCCTCAATTCTCATAAGCCAGGAGTCAATAGGAGAGACAGAAAGGGTCCAGGATCCCCCAGTCCCTGTCCATGGCCTGCTCACGCTGATCTAAGAACCTCCCAGTAGGCTCCACCTCCTAGTGGTCCACAGCACCTCCCAACACCTCTGGGAATTAAGTCTTTAGCACATTGTCATGAGGGGGCAAAATTGCAACATATGCAGTCGAGGGGAGAAATAAAGAATGTCCATGCACTTCTGCCCCTTTTCAATGCTTTATTCACTCAAATTACTCAATACAATTTCTATAGGTTCTTAATCAAGAAAACGACAATCCTTAATGCTAGGCACTGCAATAGACATAATCAATTCACAGCAAACAATGCTAGATTAATTAACTCACAGAAAACAATTCTAGACTGATACTAAGCACTGAAAAACACACTTAATCATGACAGGCTAGTGACAGACATTCCCTCTGAATGTTAACTTCAAAAGTCATCTTAGGCTTTGAGTCCAGCAGATGCACACTCACTCAGACCGTGGTGACTGGGTCCGGAACCAAGGCAGGCTTCTCCTGGCATGGGGTGGACGACCCGTGGAGGAGGGGGTTCTAGGGAGGAGTTGTGGCTCTCACCAAGGTCCAGATGAGGCAGTAGAGTTTGAGAGCGGTGAGGATCACGCAGAGGCTCAGGAAATGATGACAAGTGATGGGATGTCAGGTCCTCATCAGGCTCTCCAGCTCCAGTGCATCCTTGTTTTGGCTGGCTGAATCCCTGTTCATTTGCTCTATCATGTATACTAAATTTTGGGGCTTTTGGCCCTCCCTTCAATCCTTATCAGCTACCACCAGATTTCTCCGGTGACATCATTTACC